TCCGTTCCCCTCCCCACCACAGACACCCTGTGAGGTAGGTGGGGCTGAGAGAGCTCTGACGGAAACGGCTCTTTTTCAAGGACAGCTCTTGTCAGAACTACGGCTTGTCAGAACTACGGCCAGGTGCAAGTGGAGGAGGTGTGGGGGAATCAAACCCGGTTCTCCCAGATTAGAGTCCGCACGCTTAACCACCACACCAAACTGGCTACTTTGCCAGGGTCGGCCCCGCCTAGCATCCGAGATCTGACAAAATCAGGCTTGACCTGGCCTATCCAGGTCAGGGTGGTTCATCTCTTGCCTTCACAACCCTACAGTTTAATAAGAATGTGAAACAGAGCCCCCGTTGGATCAGACTGGTGATCCTTTTTGCCGCGGTGCATGACCAAATGCCTTGGAAGGTTACTAAGGAGAGGCACAGAGGCCAGAGGTCTCCCTTTTTTCGTTGCATCCGGCATCCGGAATCACGGAGTTGGAAGGGACCTCCGGTGTCATCAACCCCCCTGCACAATGCAGGGAATTCAAAAACACCCCTCCACACTCCCCCAGTGACCTCTGTTCCATGCCCAGAAGATGACAAAAAACCCCTCCAGGAACCCTGGCCAAACTGGCCTGGAGAAAAATGCCTTCCTGACCCCAAAGTGGCGACTGGCATTTCCCCGGGTGTGTCAGAAAGGGCCACGGGAACTAAGCCCTGAGGCAACCCTCCCTACCCTCCCTCTCATGATCTGCCTAAGTTCACAGAATCAGCATTGCTGTCAGATGGCCATTTGGCCTCTATTGTTTAAAGACCTCCAAAAAAAGAGCCCATCACCTCCCGAGGAAGCCTGTTCCACTGTGGAACCTCTCTAATTGTCAGGAAGTTCTTCCTGATGTGTAGCCGGAAGTTCTTCCTGATGTGTAGCCGGAATGTGCTGCCTCTGGATAGGGAGGTTCCCTTTAGCTATCGTGGCTAACAGCGATTGAGGGACTTAACGCCACGATTTTGTGGCCATCACTACATCCTGTAGAAGCAACTTCTGTAAGTTGATTATATGTTGTCGGGGAAAGTCCTGTCTTTTGTCTCTCCTGAATCTACAGCCAATCAGTCTCATAAGGTGACGCCCGTACCCTTTTGAGACTCAGTATTTTGAGAATTTGAGGACATCCAGTGAAGCTGATGGGCTGTAGGTTTATTTTATTTATTAGATTTTTAGACAAAAGGAAATACTGCGGTACACAGAGAGTGATGAAACTGCGGCATTTGCTGCCCGAGAGTGTAGTGATGGCCACAGGAATAAACAGCTTGCAAAGGGGATCAGATAGATTCATGGAGGAGAAGTCTATCGATGGCTACTAGCCATGGTGGCTGAGGGGAACCTCCATATCCAGAGGCTCTAATCCTCTAAATCCCAGATCCAGGAGGCAACATCAAGGGAAGGCCTTCGTCTCCATGCCCTGTTGTTGGCTCTCCAGAGGAACTGGTTGGCCACTGTGTGAGACAAGATGCTGGGCTAGATGGACCCTCACTGGTCTGATCCAGCAGGGCTCTTCTGATGTTCTTATGAAGGCCTCGGCGCCTCTGCCCTGTTGTTGGCCCTCCAGAGGAACTGGTTGTCCACTGTGTGAGACAGGATGCTGGGCTAGTATAACTAACCCTCTTACAGATGGGGGTGGAACAGCTGAGAGATATGACTTCCCTAAGATGGCCTGCCGAGTTTGCGAGAGAATAAAAAAATCGAATGAGGGACTTCCTGTTTCAAAGCTGAATGTTTCTGTCTGTTATATTCATTAGGGAACCCAAACCCTTGAGTTCACAGGTAATCCACTGCATGTACAGAGAAGGGTGGGTTTTTACATGATAGCAATCCTGATTGTACAAATAAACCCTCATAGTGTAGGTAGACAGAGGTTGCATTTGAAAAATAAAAGCCAAACAGTACCTTTTATTGGGACCGATTAAAATGGCACAAAACCCGTAAGCAAGCTTGCAGATTCTCCAGAACCCTTTTATCAGGCTGGATGTCACAAAAAATAAAAGGGGTAAGGAGGAGCAGATGTCTAAGGTCACAGTCTTCAGACCTTGTCTTGTCAGCATCCTGTGCAAAATGCTGAGCAGGCTGGGCAGGCTTAAAAAACGGCGCTGGTGTCAGGTTGCACGCCTGGCACTCTGGGAGCCTGTGCTGTGCATTTTCCGGATACTAGTGCACTTTCCTTGGTACTTTTTAACTTCGCATCTTCGGCAGGATGCCACGGGTTGGCCACGGGTGTGCTACGCTTCCCAGATGTTGCGGGGTGATCGCACCCCGAAAATCCGCCCGACATTCGTGCCTTTCGCGCGGCAAAATTCTCCGTGTGACGGGGCCTTTGTCATCCAGATATCAGTTCTAATTCCAGGAAATCTCCAGACCCCATCTGGAGGTTGGCAACCCAGCCACTGGGGGGGAGTATTCCGCCAGTTCCTCCATTCGTGGTTGGAGACCTCCCTTTTGGCCCCCTGTGTTGTTCGTGAGGGTCACCAGACTACCAGAAACAAAACTGTGGTGTGTGTGGGGTCTTTGGGGCATGGAGAGGGAGGGGAGGAGGGAAAGACCCACTCCCATGAAATCTGCATGTCGACCTTAACAGGACACCAGCCCTTCTCTCACTGCCTGCAAGTCACCAGTCCGACTTTCATTCCCTTCTGTAGGAGGAAAGGTCTGTGCCGGGTGTTGCCGTCCAGCAAATTCCTTCTTCCACTTACAAATAGCCACACCAGTTGTCCAAAAGTGGGAAGACCGTTGCATGTTCTTAGAGAACTTAGTTTGTTGTTGTTCAGTCGCACAGTCGAGTCCGACTCTCTGCGACCCCATGGACCAGATCACGCCAGGCCTTCCGGTCTTCCGCCATCCTCTGAAGTTTGCTCAACTTCATGTTTGTTGCATCTATGAGCTTAGTTTACTGTAACCCATAAGTCAAAATCCTGTACCTGGAGCACCCAACTGGTGCTGTTAGCCTGTTCACATAGGTCTGGGAGACTTGGGCCCAAGTCTTAGCTCTCAAAACATAGACAGTCCTAATTGATTGATTCATTGATTGATGTAAGCCCACCTTTCCGCCCTTATAAGGGCCCTCAAGGCAGCTAACAATTAAAAAACTTACAGAATAAAATGACGTTTTAAAACCATGGAGATCAACCCTCTCCCAAACACACATCATCAGGGGTCATTTCATAGAAAAAGAGGTGCAGGAGCTCATTAGCATAAAATTATTAGCATCACTTATTTGCATACGCCACACCCCCTGACATCACCGGAAGTGTGTCAGAAGGCAACACCCACCGCTCAGGCTCCACTGGACTGTTTTGCATTGCTAGCTATGGGGGGGGGGGATGTGCAGATCTGCCCTCACAAAGGAAGGAGAGCTTGTACCTGAATAAAACTTGGTCTTAAAGGTACCACTGGACTGTTTTGGATTGCTAGCTGGGGGGG